TGCTTCTGTCTTTCTTCTTTCGCATCCAAGCAGGGTCTCAGGTGATGAACTGGATATTCTTTGACTAATTTGTTGTGAGACTTTTCATTCAACCTATTTTTCCCACTCACAGAAGCTCTCCTTTTCCTTTGCATTTCAATTTCTATGGGGAAATGTCGGTGTCTGGATATTAACGTCTTACAAAGACCCCCCACAGGAAAGGCTTTCAAAACCCAAAACTTTCTGCTCTTCAACACTTTACCATGGTAGCATTTCAGCTCAAGATTTTTTCTATTTCTCCAGTTACCTAAAAAATACTGCTTTTATTTAAAAAGTAACCTTATCTGGCTGCAGTAACTGCTGGGCTTAGACTTCTCTGCAGTGTGGGTTTTATTCTCCCCAGTAACAACTCAAGAAAGCCCGGAATCAAAGGAACTGAGATGGGGTGGGAGTCTTCCTGGTGCAAAATAGGGAGACTCTTGATGACTTTAGGGTCTGTGGAGCTGCCACCTCTCATCAAGAAATGTCTTCTGCTGCCCCGTGTCTGCAGTGCTTTTAAGACAAGACATTTAGGAGTTACAGAAGAGCAAATCCACATTTCTGACTGTCACACTGGTTCAGCTTGGACAGGGAAGACCTAACCAACACTAAGCATGGTGGTATGGGATGGACAGCTGCACAAGGTCTGGTCCAGCTCTGCCTGCACTGCTCTGCCCTCGAGACTGCAGCCTATGGCCACTTTGTGCCCCCGCATGTGCACACTCATACACACATGGACTGGGGAACACCTCCAGAAATGATGGAAGAGACACAGTTGATCAAGATGACTTTGTCTTAAATCTAGCTTCAGTTACAAGCAACCAGGTCATCTCCTTTTACTTTAAAAGTTTTTTTTCTTGGCAGGGCTCTTTATATGAAGCTTCTCTGCCATCTTCAGTGCTCAGAGTTTGCATGTTGGATGTCAGCGTTTCACTGCAGTCAGCACCGAGCCTTTACAGCACTGAGCTTAGCTGGGTCTAATACAGAAAATGTACAGTTTCACATGAATCACAGTTTTGATTTGTCAATCTGACAATAGACAAGAGAACATATGCTCAGATGCGTCTGTTAGCCCAGCTCTAAGGAGAAAACAGTGTAGCAGCGCACAGTGGTGATTCACCACACTTCCTCTGAGCTTATCTGCCATGGCTTCTGTAGGCCGCGGTGAGCAACAGGGAGCTTTCATGAGGGCTATGTGTGACAGAAGCCTAAGCACAGGCAGTCAGGGGAGATCAGGTGGCACAATTCTTACGAGGACTATATTGGCTTCACAGCCCCAGCCAAGTTCACCTTCTCCTTCCTTAATTCTCTCCCCAGTTCCAGCTGGCTCTGCTGTGTGTTATTTCCTCACCAGCAATGGGCTGTTGCCAGAGGCAGCTACCAGCTGGCAGAGGCTCACACGCCCCAGCAGGCAAAAGGAGAGGAGGGGAGCCCTCTGGAAGGAAGAAAAAGTTGTACAAGTTAGTTATTGTGGAGCCACAGCTATTTATAAAACTGGGCTGGCAAAGAAGGAAGGAGAAAAGCTGTGGGTAGGGCCTGTGACGCCAGGCTGGCAAGGCAGCTTTGTTCTCCCCTGCTACAGCTGGATAGTGCAGCACATTGGCCTTGCAGCTACAGCAGTTTTCCCCACCTAACATGACCAGTCATTCTGCCAAAATCTATCTGCTCTCAGGCTTGTACTATGATGTAGCTATGGTGAACGGGGAAGACTGGAGGCCAGAGGGCTGGCAAGAGGTTGTGGGGAAAGCCGGAGGCCATGGTGCAGGCAGGAGGCTGTGGGGCAGGAGAAGCAGTGCCTGGCAGAGGCAGCCCGGGCACACGCTGCTCACTGCAGAGCAGAGGGGAATATTTGGAAGGGCAGTCTCCTGTTCCCCCTTTCTGATGAATAGGTCAACTTGTTAAACCCATTCCTACATCAGCAAGTGAAAAAGATTTGGAGTCTATTCAGTGTATTTGCTGCTGTACAGTTTTGCTAGGAAAACTGAGAGAGAGGTGTATTGTGTTTCTTTCCATCCTGCCTTATTTCCTCTCCTCCCCCTTGTCCTCTTATCTGTCCTTGTAGCACAACAGATTTTTTCCATAGGATAATGAATGGGCATGAAGCTGGTGTAACACGACAATTTCCTGGGCAGTACATAATCTATTCATTTCCTGATTCTCCACCATAACTACTGCTGGAAGCAGTTGCTGTAGACACAGCTTTCCAGGCTGAATGATTTTGAGCTGGCCCTTTGTTATGACAAAGGAAAATGTGTCTCTGGGAAATAAAAAGGAATCTTATCCTCTCCCTACCTCCCTGAGACCACTTACACCCCTTTCCACCTCACAGGCTGCTAACTGCCTCGAAGTCATATGTTGACACAGGTTTCCTCTTATGTTCTTATCTGGTATCTGTGAATTTACCTTCCCTAAGCTGTAGCTGAGGAAGGTGTCTTGTCTTTTCATCACCTCCACTGAGGCAGCAAGGAGGCTGCTGATGCGGTAGCATAGCCTGCAGCATTTAGCACCTGAAGAGCTTTTAAGAACTACTCAGAATAACCTCTGGAAATCTCATACCAGCTGCAGCAATACAAAGTCCTGTTAATTGTTTATGCAAATCCATGAATAGAATTAAGGAACTTGTTCATTAACTGCACCCTCCCAAGCATCCCATCTGGGTGGCATACCACTGTGGTTCCTTATTTAAATAGCTCCAGCCCAAGCCTCTCAACTGCTTTGTAGAGCATGAAGCTCAGGAGGAACACCAGTGTGCTTCAGGGAGCGTAAGCAAAAGTGAGCAAACAAGCAGAGAAGAGGGGTATACAGGTCCTGTGTGTATTTGGTGTGGTTTTTCCTTTGCCACACCAAATACCCTTCCACTTCCCTTCTCTTTCCCCTAAAATAGAAAAGGTGAGGGTACAATCAAGGGTTTGAAAATAAAGGAAGGATTAAGAAAACAAGGCATACCAAGCCCCTGAAGATCCCACATGAACCACCACAAGAACACAGCTACTTGTTAGTCTGCTGGGTTGAATTCTGGGGAAAACATTCACACAGATGAAATTCTTGGAAAGTGAAATGGAGATGCACTGCTAAAGGGGTTGCTCTGTGATCGATGTCATCTTCAACTTCAGGGCTCCTGTTTTCCAGCAAGCATGAATAGCCAGGTTTTGCCCATCAGTTCTGAAAACCAATCATTCTTAAATTAAACAAAGACTTTTGTCCTGTCCATGTCACTTTTTCCAGCTGCAGGGATTGACATGTATTTGGAAAAGTTCTGAAGCCAGCATGTGTTTGTCATCTCCACACACCTTCATAAAAGATTGTGCTGGAGGAAGGAAGCCTGCCTCTCTGCTGCCCCCTCCAGCTGGAAAATCAACTCTAATCTGTCTGTCCTTTTTCCTGTTGTGCATCTTGCCAATTAAAACTAAGTCTTGTTATTAACTGCAAATAGCATGGCTAAGCCTTTGGTCATTTTTTTCCTGCTTTAATCCTTATTCTGCCCATGAGCCTGTATTTGGACTGTAGTTTGCATCTCACAATTGGCTCAGCCCTCTCTCGTTTCAACCCCAGTTCTTGCTTGCTCTCAGCCTTCTTCCTGCTCTGCCACGTATCTGCCATGTCATTTTGTTCCTGCTGTTTTCATATGTAATGGTTTTCATATGTAATGGGACTTCCAATCACACTTGAGACATTTTAACTGTGCTGGATACTTGGATGGGCCTGTGTTCATTCCCCTCTATACTGTATATTGAGGCCCTGCCTATATCACCCGGTTGAGCATTGTTTGCTTACTTTGGCTTTCGGGATTTGTATTCTCAGACTGCTGTTTGACTGCTCAATACAAAAACACCACTGACCTGTAGTGGATATGACCAGTTCCAAGAGAGATTGTCTTTTCATGGTGTAACCAATTGCTGACAGCAGTGAGTGGGTAACGGGGGTGGGATTTGGTGGTCCCTGCAGATACCTCAGCAGCTGGCAAGTACTGCTTGTTGTAAAAAAAATAACTATGGGCTCTGAAGATTTTGTTGGACACACGGAGCCCTCTGTTTTGGGGGCTTGATAGTAGTTTCTCCCCTTAACATCCAATTTTTATTTCACTCTTCTGTTTCCTGATGAACAGTTCTTGGACAAAACCACAACTTTCTCCTTTGGTATTCTTAAATGCAACAGTTGCCAGAAGCAACTTAGTATTTTATGGCCTTGCTCCTCTAGAGCAAGGAACTCAAATATGCCTTCTCTTTCACAGAAGACAAAGCCTTTTAGGAATTCTTTAAGGCTCTTCCCCACTCCCCTGACACATGCAGACACATGCAGAGGTAATGATACGTCTGCACATCTTTCCAGTTAGACTGCAAACTGTACTGGATTGTTTGATATTGCAAGGCAGAGCAGGCTGCTGTGGGGAGGAGCTCTGTGGCTTTAGTGGCATTGCTGCTCTCTTTCTTTCCTGTGTACAGAAACTCCACATGGACTTCTGTACATCTTTCTCCCGGACTTTGTGTTACAGTAGAAACACAGATGCTACATATCTGCAAAACAGTCTCCGTCTCTCTTTTTGCTCTGGTGACTTCCTTCTTTTAGCTTCTGGTGTGATGGAGGTACCTGAGTGCCAAGGTATGTAAGGACAACTCTTTTCTGAAGAAAGTAACTTGTTACATAGTGTCTGGAGGTTCTTAGAGATCGTTTTCATATGGACATTCACAAACTTCCCACTTTTCCCCATAGTTCACAGTGCACCTGGAGAGAAAGATGTTGAGCACTAAGGGCACTTATTTTGGAATAAGCTATGCTCCTTTTATACAGTCAGGACTGATGTGGTTACCGGAAGCCGCTGCAAGGGCTAAAACTATTACTAGACAAAGTAACAGGGCCATGGGCCTACATCTCCAGTAAGTGGAAAATGGCTTTCCTTTTATATTAAGGTCATGAGTGAGAAACCTGCCTCTGCTTGCCTGCAATCTCCTGGGGCAGAGGCTGTGTAGGTGGTGTCCTCTCCTTGTGCGTGGCCTACAGGGTGAATCCTTGTTTCAATCCTAGTGAAGGGCAACATGCAGCTGTGTGGTGAACTGTCAAGAGCAATATGAAGTACAGGGGAGTCACCTCTATTTGCATTTGCTGTACACCGTAATGTGTACAGGATACGGAGAACTGCATGCATCTTTTTATCTCTCTGTTTTACACAATACCATGTAAAACAGGCACCCAAGCACAATTCTGCCTAAACTTTTTCTAGTGAACAACAATTTACAGAATGCCTCTCATTTGTCCTCTGCCTTTAAACCCATGGTTGTCCTAGCAGCAGCTGCTTAGACATGGGTAGTGGTGGGCAGAGGCGCTTGTTATTTCTGGCAGAGCTGTATGAGCCGTAGGCTATCTAAAGAGAGTTGATGATGCTGTCCTAAGTACACAGCCCTTTCCTTCACAGTTGCTGCACACAGCATTCCTGATTTTGGGAAGCAGCTGCTTTCCAACACCCACTTGAGAAACATGAACTTCTGGTGCCATCCTAGGTAATAAGTTTCACACAACTGACACAGGTCCATCTTATCTCAGAGGCTTATATGTCATTTTAAGACAGTCTCTTCCCCACCCCCAGCGTGGGCTGGATGTATCCCTGATCTAAAGAACATAGCTTTGTTTTTTTCAGACACAGTGATACAGATTTTCCTTTTCCCTTGATGTTTCTCTAGCAACTCTTCCAAGTTTTGGCTGGAAAAAAACTGTCGCAAGATACTGCTGCTGGAATGTGAGATATAGCCCACTGTTTGCAAATACCACATCCAATGGGACCAGAGCACGCAGCACTCGACAGAACTTGGTGTGTTCAGATTTCTGCTTTCTGTGTTTCAGTTTGCACACTTCATCTAAATGTTGAGCGGGCTATCTTGGGGCACACACACTGCACTGGCCACCACAGGACGAGACCACGTATTCACCCTGTAGCTGGAAGTGATTCCCCATGGCCCAGTGTGGTGGGGCAGCCCCATTGGAGATGTGTGTGTGCCACTTACTGATCCCATTACTGGCAGTTTCAGGAAAGAATCCTTGAGCCAATGAGCCTGAATTCACAGAAGTGATCAGTCTGCCGCAGTAGGTCTGAGAGACCCTTTGGGGCTGCTGAAATGACTTCAAAAGCTGTTGGTCCTGCCCTGTTTGCTGGCAACATGTTCTGCTAAAAAAGAAAAAAAAAGGACACAGGAAGCACCAACACAAGGTGGGAGAGTCAAGACCTCAATCCAATGTACTAGTAATACTTAGCACTGTACATCACTATACTTACAAACATGAACTAGTAAATCCTCACAACACCCCTGCGAGGTAGGGAAGTATTTTTGTCCCCAGTGTACAGATGGGGAAACTGAGGCACAGAGAGGCTAAGTGACTTGCCCAAGACCACACAGCAAGGCATTGGCAGAGCTGGTACATGATTGGAGACGTCCCTGTCCCCCACCCTACGCAAACCCCACTAGATGATGTTGCCTGTCTGGATACGGGAAACCCACAAGTCCCTTCTAAAAGGAATGCCTGGACTTGTTGCCTATTAATAATTTTTATTTGCCTTTAATGAATTATTTCACAGTTTTTCCCTCATACTGTACACCACACTTTGACAGCCTATTCAGCCTTCTGTGGTACCCCACAGCCTTCTCCTCTGGCACTGGGACAGCTTTGGGGGTATTGTAGGGTGCTCTGTGCTTTCGTTAAGAGGATGTTTAGAAACAGTTTCACTGGAATTGGATTGGGAGCACGTGAGCTCTCAATGGAGACTGATAGCACACACCGGAGAAGCAGGCAGGGGGAGCTGATGGTAAAAAGGCATTTGCTGTCCCCTGTGAAATCACCAGTGGTCTCTTGGTTTCTTAGCTCTTCTAAGCTCCATCTATCACTCAGAGTAGAAACTGTTTTTCTCCAGCTTGTCTGGTCAGGAAGGGGTTGTCTGGGGGTTGCTTCCCTACAGGTAGTAGCAGTCAGCTTGAGACCAGAGAGGTCCCCTCATATGGCCTCCTCCAGGTGTGTGACACTGTCTTGGAACAAGGCTGGCTGTAGCCATTGTGCTCTCCTGCCATGGGGAAGGGGTATTACCGTGGTTGGCAATGGTAATTGTTGCAGCCATACCCAGCATCTAAGTCTCTTTTTTCAAAACCAAGATTGAATGAAGAGCAAGGGAGAGTGGGTGGATGAGGAGATGGGGATGAGGCAGAGCAAACAAGAAAATCCACCAAATGGGCTTCTGGGAAGGAAATGTTCCCCTTTGGGCACTTCAGCTGAAGCGGCTTCATTTTCACAAGGCTTCTTTCTCTCTCTGGGAACATCTGCTGAGCTTCATCTCTGTCAGCTGGATATATCGTATGACATTGGTATCTGCAGGGAAAGAGCACACGAATACACGTAGAGAGGTTACAACTTCTTGTGAAAGACAGACACACCACACCTCTCATCTGTGGTGCATCTCCTGTTCCTGGGCTCTGGCATTGCCTGCAGGAACAGCTCCAGTGAGAAGGGGCTCTGAACCAAACCCTCAAACCAAACAGGCACAGAAACATTGTTTTGTCTGTGTAAAGAGCTGTGAGATCCCTGTGCAAGTGGTAAGTTATCTTTTTCTTTACAGTATTTCTGGGACAGAAATGCACAGTGCATACAACACACAAGTTCTGCCATTCACTCAAGGCACAGGTTGATTTGCACAAGCATGTCTCTAGAAAGACTTCATGCTTCTGCAGCCAAGGTCACTCCTATCTCCAATCACTTTGATTTACTATCACGAGAGCCTGGCATCCACATAGTAGCAAATGGTGTGTGATATCAGAAGCAAGCAAGCATAAAAAATAACTGCTTTCACTTATGTATTAATTTAAAAATGGTTCTTAGCTCACAGCTATACTCACAGGGCCAACCAGGGCCAGCTTTGTCCATTATAAGTTATTACAGCTTCAGAAATCAATCTGAAGCACACTGCATCTGCTCTGCCCACAGTGAGAGAGCAATCTCATCTCTTCTTCATCCAAACAGCAACATGCACCACACCAGCTGGGAAAGGAGAAGTGCTTGAGCTTCCAAAGAGATGAGCACATTACTGGTACCGTGCCAGTTGCTAGCAAGTGCAGGTTCTGCACCCACCGAATGAGTTGTGGGTACAAAGTTTCCTTTAAAATTGAGAGGTGGACCCTTCTATTGTGCCCCTCAGCTCAAGTGGAGGCCATGGGAGATGGTTCCAGCCGCTCTTTACACAAAGCTCTCCACATGTTGCAGCAATGCTATTGTGACTTTCCAAGCCATCTCTGGTGAGATGGAGCTGTGGGCTAAGCCTTCTGCAGGCTTACCAGCATCACCCAAGTCAGTTCAGAGGATAGAATTCAGCAATTTAGCTACTTATCCTGTTCAGGCAACCTTAATGAAGCAAGGAGTTCTGCTGTCACTTGTGTTAGAAGGAGCAGCGGCACTCCATACCAGCCTAACCAATCTTAAAGCAGCCTTTTAAAAAAAGCAGAATTAGTTTCAGTTGCACAGCTTCCAGAAATGGAGCAATTCAGCTGAGGGGGTGGTCCTGAGTGTTTGGCCTCCCTTCACTCTGACTGCTCTGCCCTTCTAGCACCTGATAGCTTATCACAAAGGTAACCATTCTCTTTGTTGGGCTGCACAGTCAGAGGCCAGCCTAGCACAGGTGATATAGGAGCAGAGGAGGCTCATTAGGAACTCACACCTAGCTGAGCCTGCAGCACTCTGTGCCTGGCACAGGAAAAGGTGGGTCTCAGCAATGATTAGTAGCAGCAGGCTGCCAGGTACTTTGGCCTAGGGGCAAGGTAGGTAGGTTTTGATGGCACAGCCTCACTTACCTGGAAGACTGCAACTGGCATAGAGAGCCATGGGCAAAATAAGGTGCAGCTGACAGGGGGTGGGAGAAAGTCTAATTGCAAGGTAGCTAAAAAAAAAAAATCTGCTAGCAGGTGGAGACGTGTTTTGTTTCTCTTTTGAGAGCTGTTGCTTTACTAGAGAGGAGTAATGAGTAGCACTTTGCTTGTGGAAAAAAATGGAGCCTTGTCTTTTCCTCTAAGTAATACTGTGCTACTCTAGCTCCATACGCAGTCTTTCAAAACTAAAAGTTAATGAGCAGAGGGTTTTGGTGCTTCTCAGTGTGGAAGTACTGATGTGTAAATGACAGGTAAGGGTAGTCTGGGGCTGGTCAGGCCATGCTGGAAGATGGTGATGCTGCAGTAGGAGTGTATCTCTTGGCTCTCAGGCTGTTCCTATGGCTTTTTTGCTGTGCTGCTTCTTCCTATAGCTTCAGGGCTGGTCGTGTGCCTCCGGGGCAGGTGCTGTGGCCTGGAGCTTTGCTCCCGGGATCGGAGTCCTAAGCATTAAAGCCAACTCCTTCTGTGTAGCATGGGAAGCTGGCCTGGTACACAGGCCCTCTGGCCAGAGCACTGTGACTGGTGTTCCCAGGCCAACCCATGGTCCCTTTGCATCCCTGGCCAGTGGTCACCTTGATGGTGTGACCAGATGGATGGGAAGAAGTTGAGCGCAGCTTGAAGGTAAGGTGTATGCCAAGTCTGCTACATCAAAGTTCAGTTTGGTGATCTACAACTTCTGGCCACCGATTTATGGAAGGGTGCTCTGCACAGCTTAGTGGAGGCTTTCTTCTCTCTTTCCAAACAGTTTCTTAGTAAGAATTGTTATACAGTGATCTTCTACTATTTCTATCTGCTTTTGTATGTTTTTCTTTTTGTTTGGAGGTAGCATAAGAAATCAGGACAAACCCAGCCCTCGCTATTGGTGGGCAATAAACAGCTATAAGGGATCTGCTATGCAGACAGACCTGTAAAACCATCTGATAACTAATTCTTCTTTGACATTTAAAATTGCCACCACTGAAGAGACTGTCATTGATTTCTGCCAAAAACAGTCTCTCCTATTAGAGAGAGAACGGGGGAAAAAAAAAAAAGGGCAGAACATGACTGTAATGATAACCAAGTGCTTTACCAGCAAGCTTGGTGAAACCTCAGACAAAAGAAATGATTACTTTTTACAGATGGAGACACTGAAAGTGGAGACTCTGAGTTACTCCAGGTCACATAATAACATTTTGTGATAGCATCACCTGGTTCCTACTGCTGTAACAGCCACATCCTTTCTTCCTTAAAGAAGTATTCAGTTCTTTTCTTCGAATACCTTGCAAGTTCTCAATAATCATAAATAAAACAGTGCAACAATGGCCTCAGATAGTCTGACAGTAAAAGGGAAAAGTCTGATGCTGAAGGCCAGAACTGTTTTTGTATACGTTAAGGGTCTTTGGGGACAGTTTCTGGTATGTCTCTGCAGCAAGTAGTGGTATTTGAAGCCGTTGCTGTTGAATACATTAGTTTTTCATTCAGGAAGGAATGAGGGATACCAAATAAGTAGTATTCCTGAGAGGGGGAAAAAAAGGAACAACTATACAGATTTTAAAAAGTGGTTCAGCTAGAAAGGCTTTTTCACATCTGAGCCTATCTTAACCTTGAGGTTCTGATAAACTTCTTATTTTCCTCTGTTTTTCTTTACACAGGCTTCCCTATTTGCTGGTTCTGGCATGGGCTGAAAGCAGAAGGGCACGCTGTAAATAGGCTAAACTGAGCTTTTAAGCACATTTGCTCAGCAGTGTGGGGTGCGCAGCTGTGCTGTCAGACTGCCCAGAGCCTGGGGCCAAGCATGGCAGATGGGACTGGGTGCCTGTACAGGAGGTGGAAGGGGAGTGGGATCCCAGTGCTCCTCCAGGACACTGTCACTGCAGGAGCCCAGCAGGACCAGGACACTGCACACAGCCAGCTCTGACTACCTCTGTTGCGTCCTCTAGCTCAAGGCACACCAGCACCACTGTACTCACTCCTATTCCACACCCAGCTTTCACTCTGTGCTCACAGCTGTGGGAGGGAGCTGCTCTCTGGGGTTTCCCTTACACATGGCTTCTGTTTGACTTTCTTGTGGTCCTTTAATTTTCCTACAAGTCTTGCAAAATTTATTTCTTTTCACGAAAATGGCTTGAACAACTGTGGTTTTTGTCTCACTATCAGGTGGTCTTTTGAAAAATAAAAGCACCATCTCTGATGGTGCTCCTGATTTCAGGTAGGTTGGCATATAGGTGGCTGGTCTGACTAGCTTAGGCTGCTTGTGTATATAATCACTTTGCTTCCGACATTAATTATTTTGGTTTTGGATGCGTGGATGACAGATACTTGAACAAACATGAGACTGACTTCACGGTGCAAGTTGAAGCATCCCAATGAATGCTTTTCGAGTTAATGTCTGAGCAGAGAAAAATGCTGCTCCTCTACAGAGGAGCTGGGAGACATAGCTGTTGGACTGCAAATAGTCTTCTGGTTTTGCTAAACTGAAAAATTTTGTTCTCGTATTCATAAAATGTTTTGGTTGGGATGCATTCTTCCCTATCTTGCTTCTGCACAAAGATGGCATTCCAGCAGCACTGGTACCTTCCAGCCTGTGCTGCAGCCTCTGCAGTAGCCCACAGCTAATGTCTTTTAACACTCAGTGCAAACTTGCTGCCCAAGGGGAGAATCCTTGAAGTAAGACTAAGGATAAAGTGAGTTGTGTCCATTCCTGTGGAAATCAATAAAATCAGATAGGGACTTAGTCTTGTGAAAAGAAATGCAAAGGAACTCAATGTAAAGTCACATTCCTCCTTCCCATACCTGTTGGCTGGCGGGATCTTGCCTCTTTCAAGTAGTAGAGTGCCTTGTTGTAGTCACCCAGGTGGTAAAATGCAACTCCCGACCGGTAGAGTGCCTTGAAGTTCTCGCCTTCTTTCTGCAGCACCTTCAGGCAGTACTCCTTGACACGCTCATAGTTCACCAGCTCGGCCTGGAGCAGGCAGGCTGCAGGGCAAGGGGAGAGAGAGAGCAGGGAGTGTTACGGCTGCTTTTCTGCTCCTGCAATCTGCACAGGCAAAAAGAGTAGCCTAGGTGAGGGCAGTGACTCAGACTCGTGATTCAGAAAGGGTGCAGTCAAACACATTGTTTAAATGGTGAACAATTGTTTGCTAAATCCAATTGTTCACCATTTAAATACCAATGCTTCTATTTTTGCAATTTCAGACCGATTAAATTGTTTGTTCTGGGGCTTTAGGGGGAGAGCAAAAACATAAACGTCCCCCTGGAGCCAGGCCTCCGTGTGATCTTGTGGTAGTGACTGGCTTAGCCTGGAGTAGAATCATTTCTCATTTGAGGAATAGGTCTTGGAACAGTACAGAAAAGGAGGTCAAAAAATAATTATCTGACAAGAGGGAGAAAAAGGAACTAAATTAGATTAGGTATTGGTCTTAATGGTTTGAGGATGCTGAATTTATAATGTACTGTCTTTTATGCAGGAGGTTTTATATAGTGTTTTTCTGTAGGAATCAATGAGGGGCCCTGCTCTGCTGGAATGTGCTGTTAGTGAAGCAGAGGCACCTGGAGCTATAATGCAGGGAAAACATGTGCTGAACCTTTGTTGCAGTACTTAGCAAAAAGCACCAGCCTAGCACAAGAGGTCAGTTCTCCTGACTTCCTAAAGGAAAGGTAAACAATGGTGAGGAAACAGCCTGCTGAGGGCTCAGTGCTGAAGGGCAATTGCTGCAGAAATCTCAAGGAGACAAGGAAAATCCCCGTGGTGAGTTTTCCACAACTAGGGGGTGATCCCAGGGACACACTTTACAGATATGGCATGCTGACTGCCACTCTGGGCTCACTCTAGCGCTCACTCTGGGCTCAGCTTCTTTTGGCTTACTGGGCATTAAGATGGTCTTGGGGAACACCAGTGAGAATAGGACACACTGAAGCCATGCATCTACAGGAAATGAAGAAAGTTGTTATGTCCACAAGCTCTTCTGGTGCTATAATCCAAGGCAAGTTTGGGAATGACACAATCTGGGGAGGAGAGAAAGGGAGGGGAGGCAGGATGCTGCTGCAAGGATCAGTTCAGAGGCTGGCAGTGTCAAGTGCCAGGGCATGGGGAGAAATTTCCCCTAACAGGTGGTGTTACTCAGTGCCTCTCTGGCAAGGAGACTCACTGCTCCTGGAAATCCAAGTCATCACTGTTCACATGTCACCAACAAACAGCCAGACTTCATTTTTTGCATAATGACTGTGGCCGAGATAATTCAATGCTGGATCAGAAAAAATGACACAGTTCTAGATCTCCCTTCTGCTGCACCCCTGAAGTAAGCCCTGCACCTCCTCTGTAACTCACTTTATATTCCATGGACAGAAGAGTGGCCTAGATGATCTCCAGAGACTCATTCCAACCTTGATTAGTCTGAACCTATCATCAGTTAATGTGGATGGAATGCACTCCTAACCCAAGTATACATTTGAAGTTTAAACAGCTAACTGGAAATGATTATAAACAGCCTTTTACCTGTAGAGAATCTATGGTACAGATGCACTGAGCAAGGAGTGCTAAACTTGCCCCACTACTGGTCTGTTTGGTCAAGTGGCACATTATTTACTAGTTAGATCTCTGTCCCATTTGCATTAGGGATGGACTTTCAATGTATTTTAGTAGCTCCCGACATTGAAGTGCATAGGTATTAGAAAAGCATCTGACTGCTTGCTAACGATTGCCAGTTTAAAAAAAGAAAAGCATACCTTTCTAGAAGCTTGGTAGCGTCTCCTTATCCAGAATTTGTCCCTTCCTATTTGTCAAACATTGATTTTTCTCACTCTATTTCTAATGGAGCTTGAAATGACTGTGCTTTGTTTTCCTTTATTTTTTTTTGAAGCTATTAAAAAAAAAAAAAGACAGTGTAAATTTACTGCTGGCTTCACAGCCCTGGAAATGGATTGCTTTGTTTGTCTGCTGCCCAGTAGCATGTACAGCAGTGGCAGCAGCTTTCTGCACACTGCCAATCTGATCCAGTCTTTCACGTCCTGGGAAACTGCCTTGCAGAGCAACAAGATGGGGGATTTCAGTCTGTTTGTTTACCACTTGGTATTTCCAGCCATCATCATAGAAGTTACTCTGAAGATGACAGGCAGATGGACAATGCATGTTAACTCAGTAATTCTATACTGGACTTGCTGCATGGATTAGTTTAAAAGAAAACTACCCCAAATCCAGCTAATTGATAAGCTGAAATGTACTTCTGGAGATCTAGCTGGGTTCTTTCTGTGGCTCATGTTCATAGTAAAGATTCTGTAAGGCAGTGTTAGTAACTATGGATATGGCTGGGAAAAGTCATTACCACATGGCTAGCAGGAGAGATGCGTGTTTATCGGAACAAAATGAGCAGATGGATGTGCAGGAAACAGTTATGCTGGAGGAGATGGCCATTTGGAGCACCAAAGTTGGAAGTGGCTGTTGTAAATGAACCTGGAGGGAGAACCTCACTTATAAATATTTAGAGGTGTGTGCTTTTAGCTCTTGTGCACTGAAATGACCTTAATGGATTGTGATTCAATGCAAATACTGAGCCTGTTAGTAATTCAGCTTTCAAAAATGGAAGGCGTATGGCACCCTTGTATTCCTGCATAATTCAGTCAGGGGAGAATTGTTTTGAAAATGTCATTTTCCTAAACAGACGTGCATTTCTGGCTAGAAGTGTTTGTTTACCACATAAAACACATCTTCACTCTCCTTCTCTGTTCTTAATAGGCCCCCCAGTGAATCCTTCTGAGGAACAGCGCTCGCTTACAGACTGCATCAAGAAAGGTTTATCTGGCTCCTTCTGCTTTCTTGAAAGTGGATGGGCTTGGTCCCACACAGCACCATCTCTGATAGCAATCTGGCAATTAGAAAGGTGCCCTTCACAGGGAGATGCAAACCCACAGTTGTAGTCATTCAGTTTCTGTGGGTCTCACCATTGTAAAGCAGCATCAGTTGAGCTCACAGCTCAGAAGTTAGGCTACTAGTTACTAGAAATTATTTCACTTCCCCTCTGTATGATTAGTTCATCTTATTTGATATAATTCTCAATTTGGTACCTGATTTATTAAGTCAACTTGATCAACATCTAACTCCTAATTTCTAAAACTATGTGAACCTAAGGAGATTCAGTAAAACCAGTTGCAGTGTGTTTCACTTTGGACTGGTGCAATCCCGTGTGTGTGTGCAGACTGGGAGAAGAACTCACTGAGAGCAGCCCTGTGGAGAAAGACTTAGGGGTTCTGATGGATGGAAGGCCAACAGTACTGTCAGATACATCAAAAGAAGGGTTGCCCATAGGGTGAGGGAGGGAGTTGTCCCACTCTGTTCTGCCTTTTTGAGGCCCCAGCTGGAGTACTATGTCCAGGTGTGGGGACCCCAACGCAAAAGAGATGTGGAGCTGTTGGAGTGAGTTCAGAGGAGGGCCACAGAAATGGTCATGGAGCACCTCTCCTACAAAAACAGGCTGAGGCAGTTGGGATTGTTCAGCCTGGAGAAAAGAAGGCTGCAGAGAGACCTCATCATGATGTTCCAGTACTTGAAGCGAATCATAGAATCCTACAAGAGAGCTTATAAGTTGGAGAGAGGCTGACCTGTACGTGGACTGATAGTGACAGGACAAGGAGAAACTGTTTTAAACTTAAAAAAAAGGAGTTCTAGATGAGATACTATGAGGATTTTTTTTTCCTCAGTGTGGTGAGGCACTGGAACAGGTTGCTCAGAAAAGCTGTGGTGCCCCATCCCTGAAGGTGTTCAAGGCCAGGCTGGATGGGAGCCTGGGCAACCTAAGCTGGTGGGTGACAGCCCTGTCCATGGGAGGGGGTTCTTTAGCTTCAACTCCTAACCACCGATTTTTGTTATACCTTTGTCTGATACCCTGTACAGCTTGTGTTTGCTACTTGCATTAGTACTCTGAAACTGATAAATTCACTCCATCTCCTCTTTAATAGCCTGCATAAAGAAGAGTCTGGAGCTGTTTGCTAAAGCAAAACCAAGCAAAGCTTTTGTCAGCTTTCATCACTGTTCTCTGAGCCTTCAAAGTGAAGTTAACTGAAAATGCTGTTGGTTAGCATGTCATCAGAGAAGCCTCTTCTATTTGTAAACCTCTGCAGGTTATGCGAATAGCTTTATTTGACCCAACTTCTGACTTCTAATTTTGGCTGAGCCAAGAACTAAGTCTGCAAGTGAGATGTATGGGTTTTAACATGGAGATTTTGAACAACAATATGAAAAGCCTTGTGTACCTGGAAAGTTTTGCCAAAGGATAAATCCGCATGCCAGAACATTCCACAAGCCAATTTTATCCCAGTGGCCAAATTCCTGCTCAGACAAAACTAAAGACCTATCCATGTTACAGAAAAGTAAGCCAAATTACTGTGCAGTGTTAACATATGCCTACCCTGTGGCACGCTCCTTCAGTTCAGTGCATTGTGTTACTCAAAACGAAAATTCCATTTACAGCTTTTCCAGGGAATGAAAATGATTTGGCCCTTCAGGGATGTCTCAGCTTTCAATTCATATTTCACAAAGTCCAGCCCTATCTGCAGTTTGCTGGTACCTCTGCCTTAGATTGCTTTGCTTCCATTGTAGATGAGAATCACCTACAACTCTGTTGGTCTTGTAAGTTTTTGTACTAAAATATTCCATATGTAATGTCTGCTTTTGGGAAATGTCAGCCAAAGCTGTTTAGGTATTTTTGAAAAGCAGATTAGGGAAACACATCTTACTTTTCCCTTATTAAAGGTCTCTGGTGACTGTCTCTTTGGATTTGTCTCATGTCCTCTCATCATTTGGCTTTGCAATCTGAAATCTGGCAGATATCATTTGTGTCAAGCAGGTGCCTTCTGTTATCCCTAGGGTGTTATGGAGCTGGCCAACCAATAACTTTCTGAAAATAAAACCAAAAGAGTATGGCTTTAATGTACTCAGAGGTGCCTTAGATTTTGGTACCTAAATTTTTTAATATTTTGTCTAC